TGAACTAAGGGTGGTGTAGTGGTAGTGCACTCACCTCTCACCTCTAGGGTCCCTGGTTCAATTCCTGGACTCAACATCACATACATTAATTAGTGAACCAAGGGTGGTGTAGTGGTAGTGCACTCACCTCTCACCTCTAGGGTCTCAGGTTTGATTCCTGGACTTGTTATTGCACATTTGAGTAGAGTTTGTTAGGTCRCTCCCTTGATTCAAAGAGCTTTTCACCAGCTTCTCCATTTTTCCTCCCTCAGTAATGAACCTAACAAGTTAAATTTGAAGTCTTTCTGTGAGTTACAGGCTGTGCCTATGATCACTACTGTAGTGGTTGGAAGAGGGGATTGGGATATTTGCGATGTTTCCTAATGTCTAAATTACATTTTGATACCATTTTTATATTATTAAAAAATGCCAAATTTCAATTCAATCTGTGAGTTTCATGTAGCCGTGCCCTGACTTTAATCAGCTCAGTTGTCTTAGGGTATCAACAAAATTTGAAGGTTGAAAATGGGTTTTTTGATAGGTTATACAATCATGTAATAGGTTTCTGCCCCTAATGTTACACAGTTTTCATGACTACTATTGTTTTGTCTATGATCAGGCAGTGGAGGCAACAACCATGCACTAGAAGCATATCAACAAAAAAAGTACCCTCTTGCCGTGAAGCTAGGTACCATTACCCCTGATGGAGCAGGTGAGTGGTTACGTAGCCATGATGGTGTTGATGATGATGGTGAAGGTTATGATGATGATGAAAGTGATGGTAGTGAAAATCATTGGTGATAATGATGATGGTGGTGGTGGTGGTGGTAAAGGTTATGATGATGATGAAAGTGATAGTCATCAAAATAATTGATGATGACGATGATGATGACGTAGATGATGACGGTGAAGGTTATGATGATGATGAAAGTGATGGTAGTCAAAATCATTGGTGATGATGGTGTTGGTGGTGGTAAAGGTTATGATGATGATGAAAGTGATGGTAGTGAAAATCATTGGTGATAATGATGATGATGGTGGTGGTGGTGGTTAAAGGTTATGATGATGATGAAAGTGATAGTCATCAAAATAATTGATGATGATGATGATGACGTAGATGATGACGGTGAAGGTTATGATGATGATGAAAGTGATGGTAGTCAAAATCATTGGTGATGATAATGATGGTGATGATAATGAAGATAAATAAAGATGATGGTGGTGGTAGTGGTGATGACAGCTAATGCAATGCCGATAAATGTTAAAATTTATAATAGTGGGGAAAGGGTAGAGTTAGTGATGCCTGTACTCTAACTTTCTCATTCTAATCATTATCATGGTTTCATAATGTTACAGATGTATTCTCCTACGATGAAGATGAAATGGTAGAAGATCCAAACTTGGCCAAACACCTGGCTCATTTTGGCATCAACATCACACAGATGCAAAAGGTAACACAATTAGCCTCCTTCAAAGGCAACTACTTGGGCTTTCTTTGACGGGGCGTGCTACAGWGCAGCCTTCCTTTGGCATAGAATCCACATAGAGAGTTCCCATATAGAGAGATAGAGAGATTCAAGAGAAGCCTGTGGAGGAGGCTTATGGCGATAAGATACAATAAATTTTATTTAAAGRGGGTGATGCAATAACCTACATGTAACTTATGCCCTCCGTTAGCAAGTGATAGCTGTTGTGCTGGCAACTTTYAATAATTTTGACATACCTATAGAGAGCTAGCATTACCTAATAATAAAGAGGGTGTAATGGTATCTGTTATGGAGTGACACAGGGTCCGAAATTACCAGTCGTCCAGTCATCAGGGACGACTAAAGTTTGCAARTCACGACTAGATTTTGGAATGTGGTTGTCCTTCTGACGACCTACGTTTTTGCCAAGGTGTTTTCTTTTATAAAAATAATAAAAGAGTCCCTAAAGTCCGAATATAATTCTAAATTATATTTCTTCTGCTTAAAACCTAGAAAGTTCATTTTTCAACTGATAAACTTTCAAAATTTCGAGATAACGCATTCGTCAGAAGCCATTGAATACTGCTGACAAATTTGATTGCATCTTCTGCATTATAGCTAACAGCTGACCATGGTCATCCAGGCTCTACAAAATGGCGTCCAAGTGGGACTCCTAAGTTTTGCTCTGGACGCCTAAGAATTAGAACATGGTTGTCCAAAGTACCACTTGGCTCAAAAGTTAATTTCGGACCCAGTGACATCCCATCTAGTTTGGAGTGGTAATTSTYCTAGATATTGGTTGATGCTATAGTATTATAGAATTAAGTACTGACTCAGCATAATGACTTTTTCTTAAAATGTTTCAATATTTTTGTTATAAACAGACAGATAAGACRATGGCTGAACTGGAAATTGATATCAACATGCGGATAAGAGAATGGGACGTCATTCAGGTAAAGAAAATGAATGAAAGAACAAATGGACGAAGAGCTGTTCTTAGATATAAAATTGGTTTCTCCTGTTTTTTTTTGTCACATCTTAAACATTTTGCTGACCTACAGGAATCAGGAAAGAAGCTYATTCCTCTATATGGCCCTGGATACACTGGCCTAAAGAACCTTGGAAACACGTAAGAACATCAAAGTATATATACACCTAATTGAAAAAACGTTGTCGGGTTCAAAAAAAGGTAATATCATCAAAGCTAAGACCRAAGGGGAGCATGGGAAGACAAASAATTTATGCTAATTTCATGTGTATTGCAGTTTTCCCTTCCTGTGCACATTTCATGCATCATGGCTTTGKCATGCTGTTACTCTAGGTCGACTGACTTTGCTCTACTGTGCATTTTTACATGTCTATATGCAAATATAATRCAYATTTYRGAGTACCCAAAATCCTTTTYGGTCTTAGCTTCGATGATATGACCTTCTCGAACCCGACTAAGTTTTTTCAATTAGGTGTATATATAATTATGGTACTGCACTGTCCTGACATTTTTGCATGCTTGATGAAATGCCAGAAACTCTGGAAAACCCAATTTCAAAAGCTTTGTTTGGTTAGAATACATGAGAGTTGAAGAAATGACAACTGTAACAGTGCAACTGTAAAGCAATACTGTACATGCTTTAAAATGAGCATGTATTGAGTAAGATAAAAACTGTAAATTTAGGAAGCAAAAGCTCTTAGCCAAATTTCAAATTAGGKAACTAGCTACTAACAAGCCACATTTCTGACTCTGCTTCCTAGGGTTTCCCAGATTGTGTAGTTCTGACAGAAATTATCCATACCTCCCACCAAGGAATTTTTTAAAAGACATTTAAAAAGACRATTAAAAAAAAACTGTTATAACTTCTTTGAGAAGTTAGAGCATGAACTATAATTTTGTTTTTTCTAGTTTTATATTTTTGAAATAAAAATGTTAGTGTGATAAGTTGGAAAAGTCATAAATTTGTCAAGAAATAGGACAAGTTTGTCTCTGGAGATTATACAACTTTTAATAATTTTTTTGCAGGTGTTACATGAATTCAGTCATGCAAGTGTTATTCTCTATCACAGAATTACAGCAAAGGTTAGTTATTACAGCCAGTTTTCATGTTTTTTCGTGATTTATTACAGCCATATTCATGTTTCTGCAACCTAACTGACTCCATACGTTTGGACATGTTTGGCATTTTGGCTACAGCCAATCAAATTTACCATGATGGGCAAGAGCATTCCAATCACGAGCGATAAATATTTTAAACCCATTGGAAAATGGCTGTCAAGTTGCTTGATCGGAATGCACTCTGCCTGTGGTAAATTTCATCAATTGGTGGTAGCCAAAAAGCCAAGCAGCTCCAAACGTCTGGAGTCGGTTAGGTTGCAGAAATATGAATTGGGCTTTTAAAATGTGGTTTAACATCCCCATGAGCAGTTCGATAATCATGACTTATTTGCCTATCCACTCATATCTTTATGATATGCTATTTTATTTGCTTAGATATGGAGCCGCAAAGGAAGAGAGTTTTGCTAACTCACCAAGTGATCCATCTGGAGATTTTAACACACAAATGTAAGTTTTTTTTGAAAAGAATGGGCTAATCCATGCTTCCAGCCATCTAACCATCTGTCTATCCATCCATCCATCCTTCTATCTTTCCCTTCCTCTATCCATCCATCCATCCATGTATCAGTAAGTTAGTATTTTTTGAATAGACTAATCCATCCATCCCTCCATCCATCTACCCATCTGTCTGTACATCCACCCATGATCTACCCTTTTATCCCTCCATCCATCTACCCATCTGTCTGTCCATCCACTCATCATTCTATCCCTCCCTCCCTCCCGGCAGGACCCACCCTCAACCACATAGGCATGCCTTTTGAGCCATGACAAGTGGTGTAAAAAGGAGAAAACACTGACGCCCAAGCTGGAGACTGAGGTCTTTACYTGACAACTACTCGACTTCTTACGATCTTTAAATGATTCACGTTTGTCATTTTTTCTGTTCATAAGGGTGAAGCTAGCAGATGGTATTCTGTCTGGACGATACTCACAACCACCAAAAGAACCCAAGAAAACTGATGATTCACAGGGAGAGCAAACAGTGGTTAGTGGATATTTACGTTGGAAATTTATCTTGAAATAAAGAAATGATATAATAACCTCATTTATTAATAGGCCCTTTGCAGCTAAGCAATCACGTGCGGATTAATTCACTGAGAGCAAATGAATGAACATTTTGATTGCCATGGGTGAAATATACTGGTGAGCAAACAAACTTTCTACAACCTGTTTCGAGAGATCGTAATAAAACTGCATTTCRTAACACACTGGTTACAMATCGTTTCATTTAGTTCTTAACAAGTAGCTAAAAAGAATCACCAATTTAAAAGAAAATAAAAAATTTTGCTCACCAGTACAGACACGTGACCGTCACTGCAAAGGGCCTATTATCTTGGATGCCAGTTAGAATAGAGTTCGTTGGGTCTCCTTTAGTTTGAGGGTAATATTCACAGAGTTCTCCAGTTTTTCCTCCCTCAAAAAAAAAAGTTAAAATAAAATTTTATCTATGATTTAGCTGAAGTGCTCTGAACATGTACATGTATATGTACCAACCCAACCCCATTAAATCTACCAGATACTTTGCGAGTGTTTTTTCCCCCATAGTTCCAGTTTAAGCTCTTTACTTGAAAACATGAATGAAAAAATCATACAAACTTTTTTCTTTCTTTCTAGGAGCAAGATGGAATATCCCCTCACATGTTCAAGGCTCTGATTGGTAGAGGGCATCCAGAATTTTCCACCAATCGGCAGCAAGATGCACAAGAGTTCTTTGYATATCTGATCGAGAATATTGACAGAGCAGAGGTAAACGTTATGACTACAATACAATAGTATTATATAATATATAATAAATAAATTACCTACTCTTGATAGGATTGGGAACCCTGTTGCTCGAACACCACAGGAATCCCTATACTAATAAAAGAGGTCTGTTACTAATTATATTAATTTCGAACTCTTCTGTTGATCTTTCAGAGAACCAACAAGGGGCTGGTAAATCCAGTGGATTCATTTAGATATAAAGTAAGTATGGACTGCCTTCCAACATCCAAAGATTAAATGTTAAGCAGTGTAGGTGGATATAATGTTTTACCTGCCATAGACCGAGGCTTTGAACCATCACGTGTTGGCAGCCATGACAGGAGGCAGGAACAATTTAATCTGGTCTAATCTGATTTACATGAGAAAGAATCCAGTTTCACAGGGGAGAAGATTCTATCGTTGTACCTCCTGTCATGGCTGCCAATGTGCAAATGCAACCATTCAGGTTTTCTTACTTTGCTTTGTTCGGTTGTCCACTAGATTTCGTGTTGTCAATAAGCCTGAAGCGAGATGACGTTTTACCCCCGACTCTGTACCATAATAGTTTTTAAAATTCTTTCATATTAAGTTTTTTGATTCCTTAGAGAATACAGGAACAATAGTTATAATTAAAGAACAAAAGCAATGTGAAAAGGATTATGGTCTAGAGACGGGGGTAAAACGTCATCTCGCTTCAGCTTATTGAAATATTGAAAGAAATAAGTATTCAGATATTCAAATATATTCAAATATCGTCATCGTACGCCCACCAATAGGAAATAACTTTATTTCGTCTCAAGGTTGAAGAACGAATCCAATGTATGGAGTCCAAGAAAGTTCGTTACACAAGCAGAGAAGATAACATGCTGTCGTTAGCAATACCAATGGACGCAGTGTTAAACAAAGGCTAGTAGAAAAAGTAGAATTGATAAAGGATTGATGTTGATGTTCTGTCGTTGAACCTGACGAGAGCAAAACATGTAACAGCAATAACGACAAACAGCAGAAGCAACAACGGCAATAACAACAACAACAGCAGCAGCAGCAGCAGAAGAAACGACAACAACAACAAGAGCACTAACAAAAGTAACAGCAGCAACAACAACAGCAACAACAACAGCAGCAACAACAGCAGCAACAACAACA